CTCTGGTATTAAGTTGGACCACCAGGACTAGATTTCAGCACGAAAGCAAGTGATGTCCTTCTAGCCTGACAGTGTTTTACTTCCTCACCCATAGAGCACTGTTAAATGCCATGTGCTCTGGTGGTGTAGTTTCCTTTTGAAAAGAATCAGTTTCCTGGAAAACTCAGTCATTTTTATGTTCTACCTCTTACAATTTTAGTACTGTTTCAGTATAAATAGCAGAATATCATGCCTTGTATAGCAAAAGGTTCTGGAGAAATGATCACCTTTTAAAGGTCACTCGTTTGCATATGTCACCTTTAGTACTAACTCCACCATTCTCTGAGCAGAATCTCAGGAAATGCTGCTTTACTGTTTTATGAATTGCATTTGGGTATAATAAAATAGGATGTGAAATAAGTCTTCACTCATGCATATGACATACAAATGCATAATTAAATATATACATTTAAAATGAATTTGCATTCATAAAGAAACTAAGGAGAGGAGGAAGAAAATGGTGTGCCTGTCTGTGTTGGGTGCTGGCATTTGTACCTAGAAACTTTTTCCTTGTAATATTAAGTAAAAACCATTTATACTCTAAGTAACCTTCTTTGAGTGGGAAGGCTATGGTGGGTTGTCTCCCTGAGCAAATGACAAATAGTTCTTCCCACTAAGGAGGGGCCAGCTGCCAAGGTTGTGAGTCCCGGACTCTTGCTGTTTCTTCTTTTGCTCATGAGATCATTCGATCTGGAAATGAGTTGTCCAGGACATATGTTATGGCATCTCCGCTGAGGGTATTCAACTCAGATTGCCTGACATGTCCCTAGTCCTTTGTCCTCTGACATATACAAGACTCTCTGGAATTACCCTGCTTCCTGCTTCTCATTTTTCTTTTTAGTTACATCTCAGTTAGTCATACAAAGGAGACTGTCTTTTTCCTAAGAAAAAGTTAAGAACTCAGTGTTGTTTCTACACTGGCCCCTAACCCATCACTTGGAGATGTCACTGCTATGCACTGTTTGCTCACTCCTAATATGCTTAGGAGACTTAAGATAAATCATTTGGGTAATATCTAAACATTAAGAAAAGATATGACATTTGGCTTTTAAACTATGCCCAATTTTCAAAAACATAGTGTCAATTAAATGATGAAATAGGACTTTTGATGAATTTAAAATTCCAGTTACTCATATCCATTACTTATGAAAAGTGGTTTAAAATTGGTTATATTTTAAGAAAAAATTGGCAGACATTAACATCATCAAGATAATTATAGATAACTTTTCCCTAAGTGTTGAAACACTAGACTAGAATGTCCAAGACAGCATCATAATGCATAATGGAGAGTACCATCTCAGGCTCATTCTCATTTTCTCATTTTTTTTTATTTCTTGAAACTCTTTGATTTATGAATCCCTCCTCAGGGCTGGAGATGAGATTCAGTGGTTAAACACACTTGCCACTCTTGCAGAAGACCCGAGTTCAGTTTCCAATACCCACATGGTGGCTCACAAACATCTTCAACTCCAGTTCCGGGGATCAGATGCCCTCTTCCAACTTGTGGCAGGTACAGCACATATATGTCGCACTTTCATATATGCAAGCAAACATTCATACACATAAAATAAAAATAAATAAAATCTCCTAAAAATACAAAAATAAAAGCTCCGTTCTGTAAGTTTTAAATGATCTGTAAAATGAAACTCATTGTTGTTCTTTTCATATAAAGTTGCAACCAAGAGCTAGAAACACAACTCAGTCAATACGGTACCTCACATAGACAAAGCCTTGGCTCTGACACCTAGTACTGTTGAAAATGGACAGAGTGATGCATGCCTGAAACCCTAGCATTCAGGAGGTAGGATCTGAAAAAGTTCAATGTCATTTGGGGGTACATATTGAGTTAGAGGCCAAGCTATGTTATATGAAACCCTGTCCAAAGTAAAATCTGGGGTCTTTATTATATTGATCTCAACTCATTTGGGCCACTATAACAGAATATCATAAAGAGGATGATTGATAAATAATAAAAGTTAATTTTTCAGTTCAGAGGCTGGGAAACTCAAGATCAAGCGTCCTGTTTCCTGTTTCTCTTGGGCTGTGATAGGCAGCCCTTCATTTCCTAACTCTCAAATGCACACATATTTCTTTTACCATGCCTTTCTTTGTCAGTCTCCTGATGTTTCCCCTAACTTAGCTTGGTTTTCATTTTTTCCTTCAGAGTTCCTTGCTTTCTCACTTCTTTAGTTTATGAAAATTCATGTGGTTGCTTTTATGTATTTGATTCTTGGGCTCTTCTACCAAGTCCACACCTTAAATTCTTTATATTTTCATCCCTTCTGCTAAACGGTAATCAATACACCTCTCCCGGTAACTTGATTATTGTTGTCAAGCTAATTAATTTGCTTGGCCACCCGACTATCTTAGGTATTTTAATCATTATCCACCACAAATCATGTCAGACTTGGCAACTAACCCAAGGAAGCTGCTCATTTGCATTCCACTATGTTAGTCAAAGAGAGTGATGAGATGTGTGAGACCGAAAAGCATGAAATCATGTTATTGAGAACACTTTGAAAAAAATCCCACCATGTTTTTTTCCTCTCATTAAGTTTACATAAGGGGCCACTTCTTGAGTCCTTTGAAGGCTCCCTATCGGTGATGAAATAGGTGTTGAGTCATAAATCTAAGGAAAACATTACACACATAATCACCCACAAGAGCTTGAATGTCTGATGCAAAGAGTCAGTGTTGTCACAAAATGGCCTTGCTGACTCAGCAGGGTGTGAGATCAGGAACCATCCAGGGGCTGCTCACAAGCTGGACATGGCCAGCCGTGTTGTCTGCCAGGCTTCAATGCTTGGTGTTAATATTTGCGAGTCAAAGACTTGTAAATTTAACTTACTTTATATTAACATCTGGGTGTCCTTGTCCTCCTGAGAAATTGCATTTTGTAGCGCTAGAGCTCTGCTCCCAGTTACAGCTGCCAGCAGAGAGTAACTTTTGCCCTCCTGTGGGCTGAGGTGCTCCGAGTCACCTCAAGCCTTGCTGAGGCCCAGTGTTTCCTGATTCCAGGTGAAATAGCAATCACAGCCTCTAAGGCCAACAGTTATTTAGTTTAGTTTTTTTCCCTATGGGATTGAGGAGATGGTTCATTTGTCAGAGCTTTCTCTGTGCAGGCCTGAGGACCTGACTTCGGATCCCCAGAATATACTTAAAAAGTCTAAGGAAGGGGCTGGAGAGATAGCTCAGCAGTTAAGAGTATTGACTGTTCTTTCAGAGTATCTGGGTTCAATTCCCAGCACCCACATGGTGGCTCACAATAATTATTAAAAAAAAAAAAAACAAGTATGATGAAATGGTATACTCCTACAATCCTAGTGCTGGGCAGAGAGAGAAAAGAGGACCCTGGGAGCTTATTAGCCTGCTAGTCTAGCCAATCTGTGAGCTCCTGGGTCAGTAGGGATGCTGTCATTAAAAAATAAAATGGAGAGTAACAGAGGAAGACACCAGACATTAATCTCTGGAGATATATATCCACACACACATGAACACACATACACATGCTCACACACACAAATATGAATAATGTTTTTTCTGTAACTATTCTCTTTTAAAAGTGGTATAGAAAATGATTAGCTGAGGGTACTATGCATTTAAAACTGAGTTTTCTTCTGTATTCACCGTGTGGGTAGAGGGTATGCATTCTGCAGCCTCTTTGCTTGTGTGTTCCTCTGGGGCCCTCGCAGGTGCAGATGTGCTAGTTGGAGACGAATGTCTTCTATCCACAGAGAAAAGCAGAGCCAGGCTGCAGATGTAGCTGAGTAGCACAGTATTTGCTTGGCATATGCCAGGCCCTCATGTGAAGCCCTCACATGGTTAAAGAAACCCAAAACAAGGCAGAGCCAAAATGACCTTAGAGAACCAACTTCCAAAGAGGGTGAGTTGCTATAGGGAGTATTTAAACATAAGTTATCAAACTGTGGTAGGTGACACGTGTCTGGAATCCCAGTGTTGGAGAAGATGAGAGATGGAGAGTAAGAGACCAGCCTGGACTGCATAGTGAGGTCTAGGCCAGCCTGGGCAATAGAGTAAGACCTTGTATCAAGTGTAATAATAACTACAACAAGAGCAGTGCTAATACAAACCACTGATACTTAAAAAGAAAAGCATTAGAATGTATTAGTTTTTATTAGATACCCTCATGTAGCCCAGGCAGGCCTCCAACTCACTATGAAATCCAGGGTAACTTTGAAGTTCCAATCCTCTTGCCTCCTGTTAAGATGACAAGTCCTTATACTCCTGTGCCTGTGTCAAGCAATATCACAGATGGACCCCCAAGGCTTCGTGTATAGCAGGCAAGTGGTCTACCAACTGAACGATATCCCTAGCCTAGAATATTCTCCTTTCTTTCTAAAAAAATTTGTATTAAATTTTTATGTGTGCATATGTGTGTTGGCATATTCACACTGCAGCATATATGTGGATTTCAGTAGACAACTTGTGGGAGTCTTTTCTCTCCACCATGTGAGTTCTGGGGTGTCCAACTAAGGTCCAAGACACAGGCTTCTTTTTTAACCTGCTGAACCACCTCACTGTCCATAAATTCTAGCTTATATGTTTTGTAAGTTTAAAACAAAGTCAAAATGTAGTAATTCTGTACCATACATAAAGACATTTGGAAGGTTGCTCAAATTTGAGGGATTGGAGCACATGATCAAACAAGGGTTAAGAGTCCAGGCTTGGGAAGCTATGGCGACTGGGGCAATCTGAACCTCCATTTTATAGATGAAGCTTCTGAGGCTCATTGTACCCCAACCTTTCCAGTTGGAGAATATAATGGACTAGTTAAAGAAACATACAGTGGTTTTAAATCCCACTCAAGTGCTTTCAGGAACACAAGGACAATTCTTCTGAACTAGCTGGGTAACACATAAAAAAAAAAAAATTGTCAGACTTTGTCCTGTAGCAAAGCACAGATTTCTACTCCTGGGCACCACACAAGGACAATTCTTCTGAACTAGCTGGGTAACACATAAAAAAAAAAATTGTCAGACTTTGTCCTGTAGCAAAGCACAGATTGCTACTCCTGGGCACTAACCATTTCCTTTCTTGAGAACCATGGCGTCTGATCAATGTCTCCATTGCCAGAAGCTGCCTGCTGTGGCCACATTCTTATTGGCCAGCTCTCCTTGGCCTGCATCTGCCTTCTTTTCCTGTGGAAATAAAATATACAAGCAGGAGAAAGGACATATTTGGTAATGTTACGCTCCTTAGCTTCCTCCTCGGGGCCGTCTCAGCTGCAAAATGTCAAGGGAAAAAATATCCCTCCAACTTGGAATGAATTCCAGACAGACCCTGATGCCTGCAAAGTTGTCAGAGGGAGCCAAGTCCAGGAAAGCCAAACATGAAGAAGGTTCATTATTTGACTTCAAGAGACGTTCAAATAATCAGACACTCTGGTATTTATGATTTCCCCCTTTTCAGATGGTCTGCAGCTCACAAACTTCCCCTCCCTTTACCACTGATTCTGAGCTTCCTTTTAAATGAAACCACAACGGTTATAAAAAGACTCTCCCATTACTTGTAAGCCGCAAGCACTCCAGGAGACACTGTGTTCACACAGGCTCTTGAGGGCTCAAGAGCGGCCCCTCCTGATTATTAGTCTGGGGAGGGCAGGCCAGGAAGTCAGACACACTTCACCTTGACCATGCCACCAGAGTCCTCATCTGGTGTTCACGTCTGTGCCAAAGCTTGCTGCCTTGCATGGCATTAACTGTGAAGATCTTTACTGAGAAGCACTGATTTCTTTCCATTGGCCTTCCTTTTTCTTAGGGAGGATGGGCTCACTCACCATTGTAGTCTGACCCTGGCAATTGGAGACTATACCTCCAGGACTGTTCCCGAGTTTCAGTTTGGGAAGGGATTTTCTTCTTTCTCCTGACATTTGGTGCCTTTTCTCTTTTCATCCATTGCCACATGCTGGCAGCAAAGAAAGGATGGTGGATTTGTGATCCAAACCTTATTAAATTGCTCCATACACATTTCCTCCCATTCCTCGGCCTTCGTTCCTAAACGCTGTGGTATTTGTTTGTCCTTGGTCACCCTAAGTCTTTATTTGGATTCTTCAAGAAACTTGAAAGCTTCCAAGGATCCGTTTTAGCAACTGGTGGCTGTGTCCACATGAGGAATGGGATGTTCTGTCTTCATCTGTGGTCTCCATGAATATGGGCCTTTCTCTCTTTTCCTGCAGTGCCCAGCGTCTCTTCGCTGGTGTTGCTCCTCCACAGTCCCTGGTTTGTGCTAGTTCCATGGTGATCAACCGTTAGGTCATAAACATTAGATGTGGCATCACCGAGTGAGTCAGTGGGGAGGAAGCTGGCTGGAAACGTAGCAGAGAGCCTCTGTTGACAGATGGATGCCTTCATAATCACAGCTTGCAGGAGAGGGGAGCCTTGCCCTGCCCAACTCTGACACTGATTCACAACAAACCTAGACCGACCGTTCCGGAGGAGGCTGGGGAAGCCCATCCCTGGCCTCGCTACTTTTTCCCTTTCATGCCTCTCACTGGACAGCTATGCCTCCAAGAAGAGGTCAAAGTGAACAGGGAGGTCTTTCTCATGAGATTTTGAGTGCTTGAGTTTTCAAAATCCTGTCTGCTCCTTCTGAGACAAATCTAAACCAAGTTAATATTGTTAACCATTTGCTTACAGTGTATTTAATGTTAAAAAGTTGCTATTTAAGTTTCTTTACTTCCTTATGGGGGGAAAAATGAGTCTAAAAAGAACACTCCTTGGGAAGGAAGAGGGTCCAGGTATATGATTTCATTATCGGCATCTCACCATGCCTGCAGGAAAATGGTTTTAAGATTCTCCAAAGATAAGAAAATGCCCTTTTAAGACTCTCCAAAGATAAGAAAATGCCTAAGATACTCATTCCTTATGGAATATTTGCATATAACCCATATACAACATTACACTTTGAATAATCTCCAGATCTCTCATAGTATCTGATACTATGTAAATGCTATGTAAGTAGTTGCTATCTGATACATAGCAACAATTTAGGGAATCATGACAAGAAAAAAAAATGCCATGCTTGTTTGGTATAGACAAGTTCTTTTCCAATTACTTGCAGTTCAGAGTTGGCAAATCTACAGAGATAGAGCTGAGCCAGTGGCTGTTGAAGGCCATCCATGTGTCAGTGCTCCTGGTAAGCATGGGGCAGTACTAGGGTATCAGATATTTTAGGCACAATTCTTCAAGCCCACCTTTCATTTCAGAAGAATTAGCTTAAGATTTCTAAACTCAGAGAGCACTATGTTGTAAGTCACGCTAGGACGTGAAGGGACAGTTCTGTAAGAGAAACAATGCCCTCTTCTGTGGCCACTATCAAGAACTTGGGATTCCTGCCAGCAGCAGGTCAGCCTTTATCTTGCAGGCATGCTTGACCTGAAAGAGAACATTCCACCTGGGGATCAGGTTCTGTCATCTTACTGGAATGCAATGTAAAACCACAGAAACTTCAGCACAAACACATTGACCACAGCTTAATAGAAGATAGCATTCGGAGGATCTGCCCAACTCATCCTCCCTTTAGGCTGAGGGGAGAAGAAAGGAAAGTCATTTTAAAATCCAATGGGGCTAGACATCAAAGAATAGTCTTTGACATCAGGAGTGAAAATAGCCTGCTGTGAAGAGCCTATTATCTGGTCCTAGAAATGCTTACCTGAGTGATGCAGATGCAGTCTTGACATCCCGACAAAGCTGAGTCTTCTTCAAGACTCGATACTCTAAGTCATCACGAGAGTAAGTGTACATTACTCATGCAGTTCACATTGCTGTCCATTGACTGGTGAGATAACTTTTGGCAACTTACTTGTCTCACAAGCATGAAAACCTGAATTTGATTGCCAGAACTCATGAAAAAAAGGAAATGAAATGAAATAAACATAAAAATGCCATGCTAGGCCTTTGGGTCCTGGCCCTCAGAGGTCAGAGGAGAGCTCTCTCTCTCTCTCTCTCTCTCTCTCTCTCGGTATGGGTCTCCACTGCCACACTTTCTGCACCATCTTTACAGAATATTCTATAGGCACAACAAATTGTAGGTCAAAGGTTTGCAGCTGAGTTGGTGCCCCAATTCCTCCACCAGAAGTCTTGCTTGGTTACAGGAGATCTCCAGGTCAGGTTCCATATCCCCTATTGCTAGGCATCCTAGCTAGGGTCACCCTCATATATTCCTGGGAGTTTCCATTGCCCTAGGTTTCTAGCTCATCCTCAGTGCTCTGCATATATGTTGCAGTCATGTAACTTGGTCTTGGTGTAAGACTTCTATCAGTGGGAACAAGGGTTGTATCTGACTCTGTTGCCTGCCTTTGGGACCCATTCCTCCTACCGGATTGCTTCTCCAGCCTTAATAGAAGAGGAGGTGCCTAGTCTCACTGCAGCTTGATAAACTGTGCCTGACTGTATCCGTGGGCGGCCTGCCAGTATCTCAATAGAAACAACAGAGGAGGGATGGGGGAGGCAGGGGTGGATGGGATGGGGGAAGGGAGGGACAGGAACTGGGAAGAGGGGAGGGAGGGGAACTTTGGCTAGGATATTATAAAAACAAAAACAAAAACAAAAAAATGCCATGCATGCTGGCACATGCCAGTGCCAGGGAGACTGAAATGGGTAGATTCCTGGGGTTGACTGGAAAGCCAGATTAGCTTAATATACCTGGTGAATTCCAGGCCAGTGAAAGACTATTTCTCAAAATAAATAAATCACTGAATAAGTGTAGCTGAGGAACAGCTGAGATTGTCCTCTGGCCTCCAGGCATGTGCACACTCACCTCATTACACACGAATACAAATGAACACGCACACAATATTGTCCATTATCAGGAGAACACTGGCTACTTCTACATGACAAAGTCAGCTTCTCCTTGTTGGAGGCTAGCTGGAAAGAGCTCTATTCTTTCTCTTTTGCTTTACCCAGGAGCATGTAAAGAAAGGGAGGTTATTGAAGACTGCCAAAGAGCCGAGACCAGAATGCACATAACCATGGCTGCCCACTCTCTGTGCTTTCTCTACCAGGCTTGCACTGTCTATAAACCTGTTCGTGACATAGCCCTGCTTCTATTTGTCTGTGTAACTACACACTGAATTCTAGAAATGCTTTTGTAAGAATTTTGTTTACTAAGTTGAACAGTACTGAGACAGAAATATGACACCCCTGGGGACTGGTGTGGCTAAATATCAGCTTGAAAGAATAGTTTAGACAAAGAGGAAGAGAGGAAATTCTAGTGACATGAGCTCATTGTCTACTCACAGAAGTTACATTTGAGATTCGGCAACTTTTCCTTTTACTCAGCCTGGCACTGGAGATTTGCCCAGCAGCATCACCCTGCAGGGATGTCTCTGACAGGAAATTCTATGTTTGTTACTTCTCTCGGAGAAAGTTCTATTTCATTTTTCAAATCTACAAATAAAAATTTGTTCCCCATCGTATCTTCAGTGTGGCTCATGACTCCTGACATGGGTAACAGTAGCTCATTTCACAGAAATGGTTTTTACAGCTCTATACTACCATCTGTCACTTTTTTCTCTTTTTCTTGTTTGTTTGTTCCTTGAGACAGTCTCACTAGGTAATCCACAAAGATCTGAACTTTGTGGTCCTCCTGCCCTGCCTCACAAATGCTAGGGTGACAGACTTTTACCACCACACCCAGCATCCTCTTCCCAGCAGAGTCATTCCTCCATTTTTCAAAAGAAGCAGTTGGGTTGTTCTGCTCTTTCCAAGGATGTTATATTTAAAGGGCTTCTTCCCAAATGCATGGATTCAGGGAATCAGCATTGACAGTGGGAAATAAAATAACTACACCAAATGATAAAAATCTTCACCTAAAGTTGATATTAATATCACAGTATTTTATTAGCTCCCATGTTTTCGAATATATATATATTTGAATATATGTTTGAAAAATACATATTTTCACAAATATAAATATAAAATATGTATTTTTCAAATATATATTTATCAATTATATTAGAGAAATTTCCTATAGTCTCAATAAGCAAATCCCATGTAGAATAAAAGGTCTTTTTCATAATGAATTTTGCTTGGCTCCAAAAGTTATCTTAACCCCAAATATTACTACTAATCAAAGATTACTACTAATCAGAGAGGAACCAGTATTCTCATTAATGTATCCTATTGTTCAGATTAAGAATTTTTTTCCATAGAAAATTTTGCTGAGTATCCCAATTTTAACCTGTTAACACTGATGAGCACAATAGTTACATTCAGGACCTCAACATGGGACAAAGGAGAACTTCATTTAGGCAAATTGAGAATGTCCAGATAGATTAGACTAGGGGAAGAAATGTGACTGACAGTGGAGTGGGGATTAGTACAAGAATGAGAGGCAGGGTGTCAAAGGAGACCATTGCTGGAGCACAGCTGCTCTTCCCTTCTTTTGGGGGGCTGTGTGTCTATTACTTCCTTCTTCAGCATTCTTACTGATTTGCTTTGTCCTCAAAGGTCTGCATTGTCACGAGTTGCTTAGCATTAACACATTGAGTTACAAGCCTAAATTGTATGCTATGAGGTTATGCTAAAGTTGGAAGGCCCCTCTAGAATAAATGAGCATTAGAATAAGTAAACACATTTAAAGGCAAAAATGAGTGGGCCAGCACTCAAAATTTGTTACAGAATGAATGCATTATGGTTGCATGCAAGATGTGGAAGACAAAAGAAAGGGGATTTAAGATACTCAGAGACAGAGCATCTTGTTGCTTACACCTCTCCAAAGAAGTAATTTCTGAGAAATAGTAGAAGAGGTGTGTGTTTGTGTGTGTGTGTGTGTGTGTGTGTGTGTGTGTGTGTGTGTGTGTAGAAAGTGGCAAGAGGAAGGGAAGGAGGGACCTATAAGAAATTAGTTCAGAAGGTTATAGAACCTTGGCATCTCCAAAAGCAGCAAGCTAGGCCAGTTGGGGTTGGGCGCAGTTTCCCACTGCCTCCCTTCAGCAGATTCATGAGTTCCCCTAGACAAACTAGGACAAACCATGATTCATGGCTTTGACAAAGAAAATAATTTCAATAGTAGCCAGTTCATAAAACATAGTTAGGGGTTAATACAGGAACCCTGACATAAGCTTAAGCACAGGGTTAAGAGAGGAAATAATCAGAAGAATGTAAGACACCCCAGAGAGCAGGCTTAGGGTTCCCAGGAGTCATATGACTGTGTTTTGACACTAGTCATATATCAGATTTTGGTAGGATTTGGAGTTCCCATCTTCAAAGCCTTAATAAGAAATGTAAATGAGAGTAGGGAAATGGTAGCACACCCTTTAATGCCAACACTTGAGAGGCAGGGGCAGTCAAATCTCTGTGAATTTGAGGCCAGCCTGGTCTACAGAGTGAGTTCTAGAACAGGCAAGGCTGCACAGATAAACCCTATCTTAACAAAGGAACAAAAAGAGATTTAAATGAGGTTCCTGGGGGCATTCTGGAGAGGCACCAAGAGGATTGCAAATGCTGAGGCAAAAGTCTGGTTGCCCCCCCCCCCCACACTGCCAGTACTAGAAAGGAGGACATCTTTAGTTAACCAAAGGTAATAGCTTGTCTGAGAGTCTCAGGAGATGACTGGGGGAAGGAAGGAGGCCCTAGCCAAGGTCATATACATTCAGGCCTTAAGTCTGGGTCATTGCTTCTTCAACATAAACCATCTTCATCTATCTATGAACACAATATCAATTTTATTCCAGTAGCCTTTGAAACAAATGCTGACTATGCTGGAAGTTTTGCTTAGCTACCAAGGCCTTTAAGGGGACTCTGGGATGAGATGCTCCTTCCCCCTCTCATGCTCATCAAATTTCTCTTTGTTTCAATTCTCCCCTAGTCTTGAGTCCAGGAAAGAATGAATAATTGAATTCAGTTATAAGCTGCCAACCTGCTAGTCTGCCAGAGTACATTTTGCTTTGGGAGTCAGTTTATTGGCTTCAAGACACTCATCTGTCTGAATGACCCCCAGACACATTATGAAGAATAGTCTACCTACTCAAAATGTACTCATTGAAACATTAATCTTAATTGTGAAACTTCTCCATAGAAACTTTGAGAGTAACATCTGACTAAATGTATGACTACTGTGGCCTAGGGAATATGATACAATTTGGCCTATCCTATATGTGGCAGGCACAGTGACAAGCTTGGACACTGTCACTTGCCTTATGGGCTTTAACAGGTTTTTGAAATTGGCTTCTCTACTCAGGATTTACTGCACTGGGGCCACAAGGAAACTAAAAACAAGAGAAAGCCTGATACCAATGTCTCCATTTTGCATTTAACTTCTTATTTGGGGCCACTTGTTTGCCTACGTGCATAAGGCATGCTAATCTCTCAAGGAGTATCTATCTAAGCAACTGTGACATGTCACATGTCTCATTTCCTTTTAAGGCTGAAGGTACAGAGCCATTGTCCTAAGCTGGGTGTCACCATGGATTCCAAGAAGAGCATGACTTCACAGACAAGACAGATCATCTTCATGATGACAACAATTGTCATGACGGAGATGCTACTCCCTAGAACAGATCATCTTGTAAGAACCAGGTTTGTCTCCTCAAGTATGACATCATTTAACAGACCCAAAGCTGAAGGGGTGACCAGCAGGACTATGCCTGTAAGGAGCACAAAGGTCCTGGAGCTCGCTGATAAGCACTAAGGAAACCAGGAATGTTAAACATGCAGGAATGTCTTTCCAATGGAGAGATAAAGAGCTTGCTTTTCCACCTAGAAGGCTTGGAATGGAGGTGATTGATAACCTGGTGATTTAGGCTATCTGTAGAGCCAGGCCATAACAAGCTCCCACAAACAGGACCAGAGGTGGCTAACAGTCAAGGTGACCTTTGTGTTATTTGTATAGTCAGGGGCTTCCCTAATATCCCACAATCAGGATTGGAGATGGCTAATAGCCCGAATGAGCTCTATACAATCTGTATGACTGAAACCACACCAGATCCTCTCCCAGGCCCTTAAGATCATACTTGTAGATGTTCTCTAAAATTCATCTGATGGGGAATGTCCTTCTATGTATGTTTATCTTCTTGTTGGTGGTTGAATAAAGTACTGTTAGCCAATGAAGAGGCAAGTTAGGCTGGACTAGGAGTCAAGGAGGATTCTGGGAAATGTAGTAAAGAAGTCTTGTGATCCAGGCAGGAAGTGCCATAGCAGGCAGACTCATATATAAGCAGGGACAAACAGAAAGTCATTCCTTTTCTCTTGCTTTCTCTCTTCCTCCTGCTCTCTGCTTTGGAGCCACCATGTGATCTGCCGGCAAAAGAGGGTGCTTAGCACCAATGTCCTCCATAAGTCTTATGATTATGGTTGATAATTAAGACTGAGCTAGCATATAAGAAATCCTAGTCAATTGACCAGCAGCACTGTAAAATAATACAAATCTCTGTGTGTTACTTGGGGCCCTAAC